TTTACGGGAAATTCAATAATTCACATATCGTGTTTAAAGGATCATTATTTTATTGGAATAAATTATCTACAATATGTTTTATTATTAGAACTAGAAATACTACAGTGTATAGCACTTCGCCTTTGGTGTGACGAAACTCACACCTGCACGAACGATTTTGATTGACAGGACAAGCACGTGGACTTCGTGTGAACTTGAAGCAGGAAAATAAAAACGGAATATGACTGTCAAACAAAGTGAATTTGTTGATAAATAAAAAAGGTTACTTTCACTGCCTGATATATTTAGATAAAAATTAAGAATTGTTGTTTATACAGGTACATATACATGCATTTGTGGAAAGGGGGGCTCAAATGGAATCTCTCTCTCTCTCTCTCTCTCTCTCTCTCTCTCTCTCTCTCTCATTTGTCCGTTTAATTAAAACTATGACACGTATTTCTTAAATACCAAGTTCTGAAACTTTAATCTATAACAAATAATATGGATGCTTCTTTGTATCACGTTGTCCGAGTATAATCACGGGAAATTGTTTATAGATACATGTAGAAGTCTGCTGAAAAAATCATCCTTAAAAAAATGAAAAGACACATAAATATATTATTGCATTAGTTTTTTTTTTTAAAAATACGTGTGTATACATGCAATACATCCACAGACTAGCAAAAATATTTTTTAAATTTTTTCTCAATATTTTACACGGAATTGCCTTGACTCGGAAATACATACATATGGTTGTTACAACCGTTGTAATTCATTCTATAAGTCAGTGATGTACTCTTCGAAAATCATTATTTGTAATGGTTTTATATATCAAATAAGAATAAACATATCTATTTTACAACTAGAATAATTTTATCTTTTAAACTACAGTTCGGTAACAATGACAATGTTTTACAGCGATAAAAATCGTGTGATTAAACAGCTGAATTTAAACATCATACATATGTGCAGAAAATATTGTAAGAAACTTAATTAATAATTTAACTAAATGTGCATGTTTCATCTTTCTTAGGACAATTTTTGAATATTTATTTATTTTCCGCCTGACATTAGAATACAATAGAATAGATACAATGCATGGTAAAGATCAGAGGCATTCCAAATAAATCGTTCATCTTGCGTTCACCGTTCACTTTGCGCTCGCGTTCGCGCTCCGTTCGCCTTCTGCGTTCGCTCAGCGTTCACCTACCGTTCACCAAGTTGCGTTCAGCATTCACATCGTTCACTCACCGTTCGCTCTGCGTTCGTTCAGCGTTCGCTCACAGTTCAAGTGGGAAAGTAGAACGTTTCAGGGAGTGTAGGACATGTTCAATATTGAATTGTATGAGAAAATTTGTAGGCTTTTTTTCCGGAATTTCTGATTCCGTCGAAGTTTATCGCATGAAAAGTAGCATATCGAGGCAACAATTTTAAAAACCATTACTAAATTTAAATAATTCATATATTTAACATTTTTTTCTGATACAAAATATCTTTCAAAAGTACAATTTATTTTGAGGTAAATTTGAGGGCGTCAAGTTAAATCAACTGAACCAACTTCTTTGTCATCTTAATTCTGTCACTTACCAATTCTATCATCTTCCAAAAGAAATAAATCAGTTTTGCAACGGATAATATCGACGTAAACGGAAATAAAGATACCAGTAATAAAATCTCGACACTCTTACTAATCGCTCATGAATATCAACATCAGTCGCACTACTGGACGAAAAAAGTGCTGAGAATCCCAAACTTTACTGATAATGTTTGATAATTACTGATACTGTGCTGTTCTTGCTGATAAATACTGATATTTAATGTTATTCTTACTGTTTTTGCTGATAATTTTAGTTGTTTCTGATAAATACTGATAATTACTGTCGTCTTTACTGTTGAGTCTGATAAATACTGATAAATACTGTTGATATGCTGTCGATGCTGAGATTTACTGATAATTACTGTGATCATGGTTCTTTAGCTGAGAAGGTGCTAAAAAAGCTTGAATGATGATTAATTATTTTAAAGAAAGTATTATATCAAGAAAATTCATTACAATCTACTTACTAGTTGTAATATTTGGATGGCGTAACTTTGTATTACAAATCAAGCTGATTTGTATTCACGAGTTCAATACACAACGTGCCGAATCAAAACGTTTATTTATACACAAGCGTCTAACTGACTATGACAACAAACAAGTCGTACATAAGATATTCTATTATGACATTTCCCCCTTTTTTAAAAGAAATCAGTGTTTTAGTTTATACATAGGTAATAAGACTCTATAGCAAAAATTAACTTGACTAGATTGTACAAGACTAGATTAAGAAACTTGGCAAGTTATTGCATTGGACAGATCAAGCTTTGAATGTACATTTAAAACGTACAATTATCAAGTTACTTAACTCTTCAAACAAAAATGATATTTCAACAATCATAACACAAGACATTCCAAATAATGAAGACAGTCCATATTATGCACAAGACCATGTCACGCACAAGTCCGTATCCAATCTCAACGATTCATTCAAGGGGAATAAAGTCATTAAAACGACTGGGTTTAACAACTGTTCTTCCGGATCGCGTAACAGTCGTAGGAGTTCCAGATCCAGATTGCAATGTTATCGGTTCATTTGCCTAGTTGGGGTTCTCTACTGCTCGGAACGAATCATTGTCAAAGTTCCCAAATAAAGTGTCTGTTATGTCGACTGTTTTCGGACTGTGTGGTATACCAATAGGTCTCGATGATGTAAATTTCACATGCCTTCTATTGCGACGCATGTTTCCACGAGGAGTTTCAATGACGCATGTTCTCTGATCAGGGTCAAAACTCTTGATAACTCCTGTATCCTTCCACAAGTTTTCATTGTCAAGCTTTACCAAGACTCTTTCTCCTTCCTTCAGACTAGGAAGTGGACGTACCGCATTATGCTTGTCAAAGTAGAATCAGTAACGTTCTTTCGTATCCTCATCACGACTGCGGACGGTATTTAGGTCCGGCCATCTTGGATTTAACGTCTTGTCCAAAGTAGGTAGATCTGTTCTAATTCGCCGTCCCATGATCAATTCTGCAGGGCTTACGCCTGTTGCGGCAATTGGCTTTGATCTGTATGCCATAAGTGCTTTGAAAATATCCGGCTGTTTAAGAATGTGTTTCGCAATTTTAACTCCACTCTCGGCCTCTCCATTCGCTTGGGCATAATGCGGACTCGAGAATAACTGTATGAAGTTATACTCCTTCGCAAATGTCCTGAAGGTTTGCGAGGTAAACTGAGTACCATTATCTGTAAATGGTATTTCCGGAATGCCCCATCTAGCATAGATGTTCTTCAATTTGCCAATGACTTGGTCGCTGGTTATACTGGGTAGATAGGCTACTTCCAGATATCGTGAGAAATAATCAATGACAGCTATGTAGTGTTTATCGTCAATTTCGAATAAATCTGCAGCTATTCTCTGCCAAGGACGCTCAGGTAGGGTTGTCGTTTTTAACGGCTCTTTCCTTTGGGTAGGTCTCTGTGCCTGGCAAATTTCACAATTTGCAACTTTGGTGGCTATTTCTTTTGACAGATCAGGCCACCATACAGTGGTTGCTGCACGTTCACGGCACTTTGAAATACCAATATGTCCATCATGTATAGTTTCCAGAATCTCACTGCGAAGGACTCCTGGAATAACTATTCTGTCACGGAACAGCAGAATTCCTTCAAATATGGAGAGTTCACTTCGCGCAGAAAAGTAGTCTCTAGCTCCTTCTGGTACTGAATTGATGTGATCAGGCCAACCTTGTTCTGTCAAGTTCATAACAAGTCTAAGTTCTTTGTCTAGATCTGTCTCCCGCCTTATCTGTTCTAGCTTCTGATCCGACACTGGTTTTGTCTCCAAAACAGAGTTCACATAAATGGTAATTTCTTCAACAGTGTTGTCTGTATCTGAATGCTTAGAAGGACTTCTGGACAATGTGTCTGGGACAACCATCTGTTTCCCTGGTACATACTCAGCATACACATTAAATCTGCGTAAACGCATAAGTAGACGCTGACATCTTACTGGTGTTCTATCAATGTCTTGGCTATTGATTAAAGGTACCAGCGGCTTATGATCAGTAAGCAGTTTGAAACTGTCAAGTCCGACTAAGTATCTGGAGAACTTCTCACATGCCCAAACTCCAGCAAGGCATTCTTTTTCGATTTGCGCATATTTAGTTTCAGTGTTTGTCAATGTGCGAGAACAATAAGCAATTGGTTTCAGATCGGTGCCCTCCTGCTGAAATATCGCTCCCCCGATTCCATAGCTACTTGCATCTGCACTCACAACTATGGGCTTTTTGGTGTCATAGAAAGTCAAGATCGGGGTTTTTGTGAGCATTTCCTTGATGCTATCAAATGCCTTTTGTTGCGAGGGTCCCCACAGTCACACAACATCTGACTTTAGGAGGTCCGTAATGGGTTTCATGATAGTCGACAGGTCCGGCAGGAACCGTCCAAGATAGTTGATCATTCCGATGATCCTGCGCAGTTCATTCACATTAGTTGGTGCATCCAGCTCTTTGATTGCTCTGACTCTATTCGGGTTAGGACTAATGCCTTTCTCACTGATGATATGTCCAAAGTATTCTAGCTGTGTTTTCGCAAATTCACACTTGTCTTTGTTAGGTTTAAGTCCAGATTCTAGAATCCTGTCAAGCGTTTTCTTCAAGCGAATGTCATGTTCCTCACGAGTCTTTCCATATAACAATATGTCGTCCATGATGACCTCGGTGCCCTCAAGTCCATGGAGTAGGGTTGACATCTCTCGTTGAAAAATCTCGGGTGCAGATGTTATCCCAAATGGAACTCTCTTGAAGCAAAACCTGCCCAGTGGGGTTATGAATGTAGTAAGCTTCCAGCTGTCTTCATGCAATGGTACTTGATAAAATCCTCTAGAAGCGTCAAGTTTGGAAAAGTATTTTGCTCCAACAAGTTTTGGTGAAACATCGTCCAAGTTAGGAAGCATAAAGTTCTCTCGTTTGACATCTTCATTCAGTTCTTTAAATCCACACAAATACGGATTTTCCCATTCTTTTTCACAACAGGTACCATGGGGGCACACCATTCGGTACTTTCAGTTACTTTTTGTATGATGCCTTCTTCCTCCATTCTTGAGAGTTCTTCTTCTACCTTTGGCAGCAAGGGAAACGGAACACGACGAGCAGTGCTCAAGCAGTATGGTTTTACCTCTTCTTTCAATGTTATTGTCATTGGGGTACACTTGACAAGTCCACATGAGCCAAACACACTAGCTTCGTCAACACGGCAAATAAGTTTAAGTTTGTTAGCAACACTTCGTGCCAGCAAGTTGCTAGTCTGAGGCCCTTCGACCACGTAGATGCTAAAGGTGTAGTCAATTCCTTTGAACTTCACGGCTGCGACAAACTTCCCTCTACAGTTGAGTTTTCCACCAGGACTCAGCAGTAGCGACTTCACAGGTGTCAGCTGTGGTTGACATAGAATCCTATTGAAAGTTACATCTGACATAATGGTGATGTCAGCACCTGTATCAATCTTGAAATTTACTGGGAGGTCACATACTTTCAAGGTCACTGTCCAAGGGTCATCTGTTTGGTCAAAGTTTACAGATCCTAAATGAAATGTTTCATCAGGTGTTCCATTGTTTGAGTCATAAACATGTAACACTGCATGTGCTGATTTGGTGTTTCTGGTGCGACAACAAACTTCAAAATGGTTCATTTTGTGGCAAGCTTTACAACGTTGACCCATGGTTGGACATCTTCCCTCGGGTCCATGCTTACGGTTACATCTACCACACTGTTGAACACTTGGTTTCCTGTGACTATGTGCTTGTTTAGCAATGAAATGTTTAGGTGATGACTGTTTCTGCTTTCCATACCTTTTAACTTCATCCAGACTTTTGAACTGTGTAGTTTGGTCTTGGATTTGCGTTTTTACCATTTCTGTCTGACGTGAATACTGTATAGCCTCTTCTAATGTTAGTGTGCTTTTGAGCTGCAGCTTCTCAGAGACTTCTTTATCTTTTAGCCCAATAACAATCTGATCACGTATTTGATCGTTTTTGTCTGTGAAATCACAATGTTCCGCTAGTTCATATAAAGCTCTAATAAATGCTTCTGAAGACTCACCAGTCCCTTGTTTTCTCTCTCGGAATCGTGCACGTTCGTGTATGACATTTTTCTTCGGGACGAAATATTCATCATATTTCTTCATCACTTTCGAGTACTTTTTCTTGTCTCCCTCATCATCAAACGTAAGCGACTTGAAAATATGCTCTGCTTCTTTCCCCATCGCATATATCAAACAGTTTACTTGTATATCTTCGTCGTCATTGTGTAATTTTGTTGCTATTCTGTAGCGTTCAAACCTTTGTTTCCAATCCGGCCATTCACTCGGATTACTAAAGTTGAAACTCGCAGGTGGGTTAAACTTCGGCATCTTGCAGCGCAATGGATTGCCTTCATTTCTGACACCATGTAATATTTGGATGGCGTAACTTTGTATTACAAATCAAGCTGATTTGTATTCACGAGTTCAATACACAACGTGCCGAATCAAAACGTTTATTTATACACAAGCGTCTAACTGGCTATGACAACAAACAAGTCGTACATAAGATATTCTATTATGACACTAGTTAAATTCTAAATGAAAAAGTCACATGAATTATTTTTTTTTTTCACATTTCATTATTTATTTATTTATTTTTATTTTATTATTATTTTTTTTTACATCTTAATGTTAAAATTAGATCATAAATGTTTATGTTTTCCTTTATCTTTATATTTCTCCTTTGTTGTCAATATCTGAAGGGGGTTGTTCATGCAGTAGTTACTCTATCTATACAGATACTTTTTTTAAAATAATTTTTTATTCACAAGGGTTTTTTTTTTTTTTTAATAAAAAATCCCATCTCATATTTTTTCCGCATGTATTTGTACTGTTACTGTCGTTAAAAATTTTAGGAAGCATCTTTAATACAGTCAATGGTTGCAATTAAATATATATTTTCATGTAGAGAACCTGCATATTTGACAAGTAACATGGGTTCCGTCTGCTCTGTTAGTTGAGACCCTCCCCCCCCCCCCTTTTACAAACCATTCTCCTTTTAACAACGCAGTATTAAATATTTCTCACAAAAAATCTTCATATAACATATATGATGCCCTTTAATGAAGAATGTGACAGGTTCAAATAATAAGATTTAATCATGATCTTAAATTTGTTGAATTATCTCTTTTACTCGGCTAGTGCGCTCTAGTTTTATAATTTATGTCGTCCTCACAATTTTTTAAATATCATTTTGTGGTATCAAGCTATCTATCTTTCGTTGTTTTTATTTTTATTTTATTTTTTAAGCCACCAGGAACTAGAAATCTTACGTAGTGTGATTTTCATTCAATGAAATACGCATTTTTCCTTCTTCGTTAGTACGGTGTACGTAATTACTGGTAACAGCTAGATCAATTTAAAAAAATTAATAACCTGCTCAGTTAAAACACAAAATAAAACAAAACTTGAAATTACTGGGTTGTTCTAAAACACCGTGTTAAACATTCATATATCCACCACGTGTAGAAGTTTCTACTTTCGTTTTGAGAATCGGGTCAAATATTAGTACATTTTGTATGTCTTACGATATGCATTTAGTAAAATTAGTAAAATTAGAAATAACCTTGTACAGAGAGTATAATATTTGTTGTCCATTCCATTTCTCGTTGTGCGAGACCAATGTACTCAAAGTACAAGCGATTCAATTAGTTATTCAGACTGTAGCAGAAAGAAAGGGGGGGGGGGAGGGGGGAGACTGTTAACTAGGCTGATAGGCGCAAGCTTGATTCTTTAGTTTTAAGTTCCATAAGTTATACATGCAATAATTACTTAATATCTATAATATACATGAATAAATTATTTTAGAGAATCAAGGAACAATGCAAAATTCAGCTATTATAATAACATTTATTCATGAGTGCCAACAGCATGTTACTGACATTCATAATTCATATACAATGTACATGTAACAGATTTTTTTCTCTGATTCAGCGATGTGGAGTTTTCGCGTTTCTGAATTGTGAACAGTTGATGCTAATATCATTACACAGATTGATAAATCATCTTTTTTATTAAAAACAAAAATCTCGTATAAATTTTGCATAATTTTTTATTATATAAAGTCGAAATCTTCCTTATCAATTTCTCTTACCCGTTTTACGGGCCCCTAAACACTGTTAAGAGAGATTCAAATGAATTTACATGTAGCACCCTCCCCCCGGATATTCTTTAAACTTTTTCTCAAGAAATGTACCTAAAACTACCAAATGAAATTTTAAAAATACTGAGCAAAGATCTACGTGAATTAAAATAAATCTATTTTTTTTTAATGTTCAAGTTACTTCATTTAATTAATAAGTTTGTACATTATGTATATAACTTCATTTCTTTCTTTTTTTTTCTTTTTTTTTTATTATTATTATTTTGTACTGTGTCCTACTTTGCTAAATATTTTTCTATCAATTTAATTTGTCAACAAAATCGATAATAAATATTAATTTTTTTGTGCATCCATAAAGATTGTTCCTGCTCCAAGTTGCAAGTACATGTACAGTGTAGGTTCATATGTTTATTATCAACACCGGTGGCCGCAGACGCAGAACAATAGGTAATCAGTGCCCATTGTTACGCTGACCAATACAACTTACATGGAATATACATGTTGTACCCCGTTCTGCCCCAGTGCCTAAGACATGTACACAATAAAGCCAAATCACGGGTTGATCTTCGATTTCTGATTAATACAAATCAATTTAAACGTGTATTCCATTCAGATTTGTGACCTTACAATATTAAAATCGATCAACTAAATCATCCATTATTTACATTTAGTAGGTCCCATTTCTTATTTTCCATTCCATAAAATTAAATTAAATGAATGAGATTTTTAAAACTTATTGAATAAAAATGTTTTATGTGGTGACTTGTAAAATTGTAAGAGACCAACATCAAAATTACATGTGTACGTGTAACTATACCATTGCACTTACACTATAATTCTGACAAGTAATTTTTGATCAACCCCCATCTGCCGGTTGCACATGTATAAACATGTAGCAGAGTTATATTCTGGGACGATCTACGAATGCTTGCATGACGTATTCCTTAAAAAAAATAAATAAATAAATAAAAAATGTGCCTCCAGACGGAACATATTCACCCCTGTTTTCATCTCTCAATTCATTTAAATAAAAAAAGCATAAAATTTATCAGTTTCGGGCAGATTTTCAGGAGGGTGGGTGAAGATCAGAAAAACCGAACATTAAAAAAAAATTCAAAAACTATGCATATCTTTGGGAAAGAATTTAAAAAAAAAAATTCTATCATGTAAGGCCATCTTTAAAAAGAAAATTATTGTTTGTCCTCTCTTGACCGAGTGAAAAAAGTCAAAATATTTCTATTCTGCTGGAAATTTTTTTATCCCGATTTTTTCCCACCCATTAATAATAAATAACTATTTCCACTTCAGTGTTTTTTTATGAAAAAATTCACCAACCTCCTTACCCAAATTTCTTGAGTCGGGCTATCAATCCTTTTTTTTCCAGAAAACCTTAATGTTTTAGTATTACAGTGACTTATGTTAAAATGAAATCTTCATGCAAAAGGAAAATTCCATTTATTCTGCTTACAGACATACATGTACTATTTTCATAGATTCTTGTAAAACATTTCCCTTTACGCTGACAATTTTTATTTAATGGTTAACTTTAATTATAATTGTCAAGATTTTCACAACTGTATAATAATAATTGAAATCGAAATCAGTGTCATAATTTTTGTCACAAGCAGTAAATATAAAGAAACATGAAAATGTTGTTGTGAAAATTAAATTAAAAGAAAGTAATGATTGAAGAAGGTTTTAACAACCCTAAGCTCTATTTTAGCACCTTCTCAGCTCAAGAACAATGTCCACAGTTACTGTAATTATCAGTAAATCTCAGCATCGACAGCACATCAACAGTATTTATCAGTATTTATCAGACTCAACAGTAAAGACGACAGTAATTATCAGTATTTATCAGAAAAAAACTAAAATTATCAGCAACAGTAAGAATAAAAGTAAATATCAGTATTTACCAGCAAGAACAGCACAGTATCAGTAATTATCAAACATTATCAGTAAAATTTGGGATTCTCAGCACTTTTTTCGTCCAGTAGTGCCGTCTGTTACAACGTACTTTGAAAAATCACGCACTTTGAATTTTTTTTTTCAAAGTGCGTATTTTTTTTTCAGAGTGCGTTACCACTGTTGTCCTTATAGTGTATTACAATTTTAATTGTATTTTTTCCAACTGTTTTTACATAATTAAAAGAGAGATTGCTCTTATTGTACTCATCATAAAATGTGAAGACTGACAATATTTCATTGTGTGTAACTGAAATAAGCGAGTGTCAAAGTTATTTACCGGCATATTGACAGCGTTGTAGCATTGTTCTATTCCCCACTGAGTGGAAATTAAATCAATCAGAAATTTCTAATATTTTATTGGGATATAAGCTACGGTTTGGTTATGTGATGAAATATGGAGACAAGGAACAACAACAAGTTCAAAAGTCCATTGAAACAATACAAATCGAAAACATTTATAAATGTTAATATTTTATATAAACAGGCTGTTTAGCAAACATGTCCCGACTTTGCAGTTTCAATAAAAAAAATGTAAGATTTTTTTTTTTTTTTTTTTTTTTTTTTGCAAAAATAAAGCACACAACCAAACAATATTAGCAATATGAAAACTGAAGTAATGTTGAATCAATTATTTTTAAGAAAAACATTTTTGGGAGTTGAACTATGTTCAATCTCCCTTGGTCATCACGGGATTTCTAAGCGCAGTAATTTGTATTGATTATATAGTGGCCGTCCGTGGGGCTTCTGTGTCGACCAATTTACTCCTGTGATATTCAATGTAAACTTGCATAAACGTCCGCCATAAAATAGTCTATTTCAATTTTTTGAATTTATCTAATTTTGATAAATGACATGAAACTAAATGCAATTGAATTTCATTTAACTTAATTTAAATACTATATTTTGATTAAATTAAAATTGATCTATACAGAACTAAAAAAAAAATGTTGAAAATTGTCGTCATGAACCTCCCTTGCAGCACATACAGCGGCACCTATAAACAATGAGAGGAAATTAACGACAACTCTGCACACATGTAACTACATGACTGCGCGAAACCTCTTTGCATTGACTAACGTGTGGTAAAAAATATTTCACAATCAATGTTATAACTTTTTTTTTTAGCCATAAATATTCGAAGTTTTCAACAATATTTATTTGGTAATACAATAAATATCAAAAGAATAAATAAATTACATGTACATTGATTGGGATATAAATGAACAATTGTTCGTTTAATATTGAATCCTAATACGTT